AAACCCCGCAATAAGGCGGCTGTGGAGAGGAGGATTGGAAGGCTATCGCCATGATTGGTGGAAGTACATATCCTGTAACTCCCCTCCTTCGACGCGTCTGCCAGTGTTGCCATTAGTTACTTCTCGTCGTTTCTATTCCAGCCTTGAATGACATTCAAGGAGGGGGAGCAACCGACCTTGAGGCGCCTATGGCTAGACGGTACCTACGCTGAGTCTGCTTCACGAGTCAGCTGCTAGTCATTTAATGAGTGATAAAGCAGCTGCCTCTACGTCCCAAAGGAACGGGGTGGAGATCGAGCAACGGACCCCACCCCCGTGTTGGTCTTAGGCTCGGAAAAGAGTACTAACCTGCTCTTCGCACCATTGAGCGAGAAGCCCCCGCCAGTCGCCACGCTATGACGAGCTCCATCGGCATTGCAGCCTCAAGGAGACGAGCACATGACTACAGCAGTGGCTACCCATCCCAAATCAAACGCAGAAGACAACACGGCAACTAAGACTCGAATGCACCTACATATAAATAAAAGGACCTGGAAGTGCTCCATTAGCCAATGGAACCAAAAAGGTCACCAAGTAGCATTCTACCGTTACTGTACATTCATTATGAAATTTATAAAATGATCGATAAAAACATGATAAACAACAAATAGTGTGCGCATGTATGTGGTACACAACAACGAAATCCCCGTTTTGCTCATTCCTCGTCTTGACCCTTTGCTAAAAGTCAATTAAGCGCTCCAGCATTTCCATTCTCCACGCTCTCAATGTAGACCCGCAAATCCTCAATGCTTCGCTGACCGCGCTCGTGCAGAATCTTCTTCAACAACGGTAACAATCGCTCCTCCAATTCATTGTCCTTGCTACAAAGCACAAAAACAAGACCATCCCGTCACGGTGCAGGCCGAGGTGGGATCAGAAGCCGAAGGGTGATTAATGATAGCCCATCAAATCGTGCCCATCAACAACAAAGGGAACGTGTAAACAAACTTACGTGCCCAATGAACAGTACACACGGGATTAAAACATCCAATAAAGGACAGGATAGATGATGGGTAAAATAAGCCTCCTCTTTCACTCATTTAGCAAAAACCCGGTCGAGATAAAGTCATAAAGTGTATCGTCCACCACAGAGTGGGGATAGGAAGAGCGGTTTAAAGGAACATGGATTGTTAAGGTAATCGCATACGCGCCGCAATGCGTGCCCCAAATAATAGTAGACCACAACAGTAAGGGATGAGTTGGGATGCAACTCGCAATCTCGTAAATAAATGGAATAACAACTCCAGGGTAAACCAATCCTTGGCAGTGTACAGAGGCTAAAAAAGAGTGCATTATGAAGTAATAGTGGTAGAGGTATGGAAAAGCGATTAGACCACACACACAGGTAGCCAAAAAGCAGAGTAGCATCGCAAGGGAAATCCACTAACCTGATGAGAGTCTTCACAACAGTAGCAAACGTTTCACAATCCTTCTTATATTCCTATTGAAAATGGGATAAAGTAAAACAAAAAAAAAACCACCTCTTCGATAGCCACTTTTTTATCCTGAATGAGAGTCTGTTTGTCTTTAGGACCTTTGCTATTTGGAGTTATCTGAGGCATCTCTAGAGCGGCAGTCTCCTCCCGAGACTTATTTTGTGCTCTGATCACCGGCTTTTCGATAGTTGGAGGACTAGCTTCAATCTGTCTATGGCTGCGATTGCTACTACTACGGCTGCTACGACGACTCCTGCTGCTATTATCAGTGTCCATGTCAGCCAATTTGTTTCCAGCTTTGTGAGTGATAAGAGGAGAGAGAATGATTTTACTGTTAGCAACAGTGGGCTTCCCACTATAGGCAGCGAAAAGGGAGCCAGACGGTGCCGAATCGCGAACGGCCTCCTCGGAAAAATTCACTGGTCTCCAATTTGAACCAGTAAGAACTGTTGAAGGTTTCAGTCTAAAGATTGAGGGTTAAGGATCAGTGCAGTAACAAGAAGTAACCAAACATAATTAAGCAGAGCACAATTTACTCTTTAGCGAGAGAAGGACTCTTAGAGTTTTTGGGAAGAAGTCCCGTTAAAATTGGAGAATGATGCTTCTGCCGTTGGTGCTGGCGCCTTGGCGACGCTGATTTTGAGGAGGAACGAGAAGATACCGAGCGACTCCGAGATGCAGACTCACGGAACTGCGGAGGTTGTGACTGCAGACGCTTTGAAGACAACTGAATCAAACCACTCAGCAACCCGCTACCTTCACGTTCACCACCGCTAACCAACGGGGCGTTGGAAAAGCCTAAACAGAAATAAGAGACGTCCTAAAATTCGTGGGAAGAAGGGATGCTCCAAGCAAAGTACTTGACAACTAACTAGAACGAGTGTTGTCCGGTGATTTACCACCCTGGCCAGATTGTCTGATGGCCGATCCACGATATGGAAATGAGCCACGTCGGGGAGGCAAATTGCCCCGGTTAGAAAGCGATCGATTTGAAATCGAATGCGATGACGAACGAGAACGGGAGGAAGCGCTTCGAGATTTCCTAAACCTCCCACGCGACATTCTCGAGATACCTTCATTGGCTTGCATAGAATCATTTTCTAAGTCGTGTGCCAATCGTCTCCTAAAATCAGAAAAAAAACGCGGTTACGCACATTAAATGCACGATTAAGTGAGTGAACTTCAACCTACCGTTTAGGAGAGAGGGTCGTGGAGCCTACGCGAGATCGTGATGATGAATGAGAAGAAACTGATGGGCGGCTGCCAAATCGCCTCCCAGAAGGAGGACCTCCGGAATAGGAACGTTCCCTAGTACGGTTGGGCGAATATGCACGACCTCGACGATCAGGAAACCCTCTATGATTACCCCTGAATCCTCCTCTCACAGCACGAAAACGACTGTGTCTTTGTTCCTCATAAACTATAAAATGCATGGCTGATCAGGAAACTTACCTCGAGCCCTAGCCTTTTTCAGATCCTTAAACCAAGTAACTTCGACCGGATGACCAAGCAGTTCCTTGCCGTTGTACCTAGAGCCAAAGTAAAATTTGACTAGAACATTACTTTTCCAACATCTCTCGCGCGGTTTCATGGCTCTTAAACCTTATTGCAACAGAAAACCTGACTTTGTCCTCCGAGGTAGAAAAGAACTCAACCGTGCACTTTGAACTCGTTTCAGAAGAAAAGTGATTTCTTGACAAAGATTAATTGGCAAACGATGTCCATACTTGACCGAGTCTACATTAGTTGAACCGGGAAGGCCGCGAATAAAGATTGTATGCCGACTTGGAGGAACAAACCTGGGATTAACCCTGTCCAAAGGCTGGCGTCTAAAGCTCATGACACGGAAAAGCGATATTCAAGAATGGCCAATTGCACGTCTTATTAAATAAAACAAATTTAAGGTAAAGTGCGACAAATGTTTATGGCTACATGTCCTTGCGTCAAACGCTAAAAGTTCTTAAAAGTTAAACAGCCTTTAAAAATATGAATGCCTACAAATAATGCAGATTAGTTATTTTAACCTTAAACAAAACCGTCACTCCCATTTGTTTGCCTGGAAAGTAGCACCTGTTCTTCATTCTCAAGTTTTAAGTGAATTACAGCTCATTAAGAAGTGTTAGTAACCAAATTCGATAGCAGGCTGTACGTGATTTCGTATTCCTTTAATGCTTCAGGTTAAGTTAAAACGGTTAAAAAATCCTGTGAAGGCATAGGATAAGCAGCGTAGTTACAGAAACTTTTGATAAAGTAAGTACTGACTAACAATTCTGAAACCTAGGAACGAACTTGCCCAACTTCACTAAATATACCAGAGTTTTCCTCAGTTTTACGCATTACCTTTATGCACTGATCATAATTGTAAAGCGGAGGTCTTTGTAACGTTTTACTTAAAAAAAGCAACTTGGCAAACAACTTATGTGGTCCTAAAATTGGGAGTTGATGATTCTACAATGCAGAAAACATAACGGACGACTGCGTTTGGCGATCCCAACGCAGGGCGAGACTCGCAGGTCCCCCCTCCCCTCGTTCTAGTGTCCATAGAACAACTCGATTGATTTAATTTCGACATATTTATTAAAAGGGAAGTGGATCGGGAGAACAAGTACAAAGTTTGGCTTGGGGAGGAATCGCAATCGCTCGCAGGCTTGGGAGGCGCTGACTCTGCCGGCAAATCTCACCTCAGCCACTATGTTGTGCTGATAATTCTAATAACAGATGTCAAAATATATGATTTACTTATTATGACAAGATCTTTAGGGCTGCTTGGTACATAACTCTGCTTGGGAAGCAGATATTGAGTTTTGCTGTTTAGTGCATCAGGATCACTTAATTTAACGAAGTGCTCTCTAAGACAGTCATATTGTCTAGATGGAAACTAAGTCCTGATTTTCACAAATAGCAAAAACTTGGAGGCACGCATTTTGCAAAGTGACTATGAATATCTTAGAATGTAATATATAACCTGTCTCCTGTTGAAATGTGAGTTGATAATGCGCATGATTTCCAGTTGCACCGGGTGAATTGCAATTGAAGTCCAGTAACCTATTTCAGCGTTTTCATGGCTGAGAATTCTAAGGAGGAGAACAGCTCAAACAAAGCTAAACCAGTTGTTGATCTGGGAATTCTTGAAGCGGATGATGATTTCGAGGAATTTCCGGCAGATGGTTGGTGTCAACTTGTGCAGTTTTATGGACTATATAGGTTGTGCGACTGGTTCATGTGAAGATAATGGCGAAGTGTCGCTCTGGGAGGATAACTGGGATGACGATATTGTAGAGGAGGAGTTTTCAACGTTGTTAAGGTTTGCATTATTTTCCAACAAAGATTTTTAGAGCTGAGTTTCAAAAATTGGGAAAAGCATTCGTCCTTCCTGATATTGTACCTCCTAGGGTGTAAATCTGCTTTCTTGAATAAACGTTTCGTATTTATGGCCATCTTTTTTTCTCTCTGCTTTGTTAAGTTTAAATGCTTGCATCTCAAGGTTTTATTGAGTAAAATCGCTATTTGTCCCGGGAGGCTTGCTTCCCTAGGGGAGGTAGTGGTTAATAATCATGAGCGTCATTTTTGCCGCTTATAGGTTACATGCAAGGCGCTATTTAAATGGACACCAACCACACACATTCCCCAAATGCTGAGGCCAAATCAACAACTGGAGACAGGTTTCAAAACCAGGATTTTGATCCACAATCAGAAGATAGTAATTCCTATTCGCCACAACAGTCCTATATTGGGTGGGATGGCACTGTGATACTTAGCCCACAGCCGTGTTCCGATCCCGCTTCGTCCGACTGTAGATCTCCCTCTTCCCCAAGGTCGGATCATTCCAGACTTGATTCTTCCCCATATTTGCATCAACAGCAGCGGCAGCTCCTAAAGCAGGAGGAAGTGGCAGGTGGTCAAGAGGGGGATTTCTATTCTCCTACTTGCGAAGAAAACGAGGACCCAAAGCAGTCCAGGAGTGGTGGTTCTTTCCATCAGCGGACCACGGCGAAAGCTATCTCTTCCAAGTATCGTTTTGGTGACTCAGTCGGTGCGGCCTCCAGATACCGTGTCATGACATCCAAGATGCAGATGGTGTCTAAATTAGCCCAGGGAGTTCTGGTATGGGCTCTTCTACCCTCCAGATACCGAATTCCGTGGTGGCCGGGTATTGTAGTGAGTTCTCAGCCGGTCAAACGCAAGAATAAAGAAGGTGAAGAAGTTTGCTACTATCGAATAATGCTCATCTGCTCCCCACCTCATCTTGAAGATATGGTCTCCTTCTTCGTTGCACGAAGCAATTTGCGCATCCTCAAGACTCGAAAGGCATTTGAGGCCTTTATGCAAAGCTCTTTGCTTCAAGTCTTCAGCAAGCCCGTCATTGTTTCGAATTTTATTGTTCCTACCCACCAGGAACAGTTCTGGTTGTTGGCCAGGGAGAAATTGGTGGAAATGGAGATGATGTCCGAAAAGTCTCTGCTCTCCAGACTGAAGTATCTCCAGTTAGATTTGTCTACTCTTCGAGAATTGTGGAGAATGGAGGATGTAAAACGGAAAGAAAAGCTTGCTAGGCTAAAGGAGAGTGGCTTAGGTGCGTAGTGGTTGTCTGCCTCTTGGGCAAATATAAGTCAGTATATTTACCATAGTTTTTGGGATTTTAGCGCAGCCAAGTGCGGTGGACAAGCGTTACACTGTCCTTGTGAGGCGAGAGGTTGGTTCATCCGTTCTCTACTTTAAGCAAAGCTAAATCGTGAGAATTAGCGCATTTTACTTTGCCGCAGGTAGCTAGCTACTCCGATCTCTTACGTAAATCGTTTTTTAACGTTGAAAGATTTATCCGTAGGAGGACTATGCTATCTATGCAGAATTTGCTAATTTATGATGGTTTCTGTGATTGCCAGTTGTCATAAAAGTTCATACAGAGATGTGGCACTCATGCGATTTGTGACTGGTGCCACTGACAGCTTCAAAGATTGATCTCAGTCTCACGCTCCCCTGACCTGCATTTCTCTTTTTTCAGCCGGCAACTCTACCCAAGAGTGAATTTGCATTCAGATCCCTACTCCACGTCTTCAAAGGTAACGCACTAGCCCGTTTTATCTGCTGCGTATGTCTAAAACCCGGTCGGTTGCTGCTGAAACCAAAGAATAAGAAAGAAGAGCAGGAAGAGGAGGAGGATGAGGGTGAGGAGACAGAGGCGGCTGAAGAGCAGGAGAACGGAGAGGATGATACCGATGATGAGGACGATCAGGGAGAAAGAGGAAAAAAGTCGAAAAGGGGTCCAAAGCTGAAGTGCCATATCTCCTCCTCCCTTCCTGCAAATCATGTAAAGCAGGTGACCAAAGCACAGAAGGCATATGCTCGTAAACTGGCCGAGATCGAGGCAACAGCCATGCAAACGTGGCCAATTTTGGCGCCGTGTGCTGGACGCTGTCCCAACTATCTTCATTTGGACTGCGCTACTCCCGGCGACAGCCGGTCTGCTTGGGAGGAGGAGCAGGAGCCCCCAAAAGTCTTCTGTCGCCTCTGTAAGGAAGGACTTCGTCAATGCTGCATCTGTCTGGTAATTATCACTTGATACCCAATCTCGATTCCATTACTCGGTTTTCACTTGCAGTAGCACTGGAAATTATGAGTAAATTTCAAGATACAATAGGATTCGACTTCACAGTATCTCACCGCCATTATCATTCACGATACCTCATTATCCACAATGTCCCTTTTGCTACCTTTCAAAGTTGTTTCTCCTTGAAGGAGAATGAGATAGCGCTGCTATGTCAGGGCCTGACAGCCCAGAGCAAGTTTGGTGTGTAATTCGTTTCATCAATCGGACGTCTGTTTTGCTATGGTGGAATTATTTAAGCTGTGCAATCATAAATTTAGGGTTCTGAAAACGGGTACGAATTTGTGCCGGCTAGCTACCCCATAAACATAATCGCATCACGGATCGTTGTGTGAGTTTGACGAAGTAAACAATTGTTCCGTTAAGTGAATTTCATTGCTTGTAGGCCCGATTGGATTTGACCAGATACCAGCACTTTAATACTTCAGAACTAACAAATCCCATAAATGTTATTTTTTCAAGCTATAAATAAGTCTTCGAGATTTGGTTGAGTTTGATTTAAAGGAATTTCACAGGAGCCAATCTGTATCTTCATGAAACCGTTAACTGGTTTGCTTTTCCAGACATTCAGGCAGCTTAGAAAAGTACTGGGTCGGTTTATTTACATCATGTGGTTTGTACCAGCTGGGTAGCCGGCTGACTGAATTTCTAGGCGCAGGCAAACTTTGCGAGGTTCTCACTTTACCAATACAATGTACTTAAAAGAAATGCTTCCTTACAAATTCTAAGCCTTCATGGTGAATTTTGGTTGGATAATTTGTAGAGATGGCTTTTTACGATGATTCTTCTGCTTAATTCGTTCTTCATTTAGCTTCTTGGTCTACACCAATTTGATTGACTAGTCATGGTTAATCATATCTCCATAAAATGCAGCTTAATTTAACGTAGATCTAGGCAAATACACGGATTGTGGGAGGTTGGGCTATCTTACGACAGCCACCTTTACACGTCTGACAGAAGTGCATTGACAGCTTTCCAAAATGCCTGTAGGTAAAGGTTTCACCAAATGAAAAGAGAGTTTGTAGGGTTTCAATGAATACTTGCAGCATAAAAGGCTATATGCACTAATCTTACGGACAGATGCCACCACATGGTAGGCCTCTTGGGCACCGCGTTTCATCGAGTGGCTTCCTACCTTCCCTCCCGTAGGAGGTGCAGCCAGCCCAGAACCGCAGCCGCGGTCGTCAAAACGAACGGGTGCTGCGTCGATGCGCCGCATCGAATTGTCGTCGATGGTTCCACCGCACCACCTGTCTGCGCCGACTGCCTCACGAGTTGTTGGTGCGCGACGGGTGTGCAGAGAGCTTCACTTGTCCTGCCCACACCTGCATGGCGTGCTACGCCGAGACGCCGGGCATTTGGCCTCACCCCACCAGCTACTTTGTCCACTGCTTTCTCTGCCCAGCTACCTTCCATGCCGATGAGTGGTGCATTCCCGCTGGCTCTATTTGGGTGAGTTCTAGGTTTTTTTTTCTTTTGAGTGTTGTCGTAGAGGTTCTCTGTGGCCACTTGATTGCTTCTGACACGTTTGGTTGATCAGAAGAACTCGTGAGGTGGGGGTGGGGTTCATAAGCTAATTTGTCACCATCACGAGAAAGGATTCGAATCAAAAGCAGTTATGCATTCTCATGAAATTGATAGATTTACCTGTTGTTACTTGTCTGTTGTGCTGTGGGTTTTCTTTCGCCATACATTACATAATGTGAAGAAATTTTCTTGTGCTGGTTAGTCTTTGTAGACGCATCTTCTTAAAAACAAAGCTGTTTAATAATATTTTAAGGCAGCTTCAGGGAGCTGCGTTTTCTATTCACTTTGGTGTCAATTTAGTGCCGTTTAAACCTCCGTACGAGTTAGCTTCAAGCTCTTACGACTTGGGAAGGTGTTGGGTCTTTAAGCTCTAGCAGTTTCTCACTGCTATTATAGCTAGCTCCTTTAAGGAAAACTAGGAGGGAGTGGTGATTTTAACTCATTTTTTACTTCTTCAAGTTCCATTATTAATCAGGACCCAGGACTTTGACAAAAATTTGATGTGACTTCAAAAGGTACTCTTATGACACTTGACGATCCATAATACGCGTCGTCTGAACGGTGAAATGAGGTAGCTTTATCTTATGAAAGAGCTGGAAGACTACCAGCCATGTTCCATGTCGTTGGCATGGAAATCAAATTCCAGCATACTGAAGGGCCTCGAGTATTTTCCATGTTTTT